ACGACGTGAAAAGACTTTCTCGACTGCGTCTTCTCAGGGGCTGAAAAGTTGAATAATTGAAAATATTTTCCTTGGCCCCATTAGAGCAGACGGTGTGGAGGTGAGGCATCGTATTCGTGCAGCTTACAGAGCTTTATCTCGTGTTCCCTCAAGCTCTCGCATTGTCAAATTTAGTTGCTCAAATTTACTCACAGAGTAAATCCTGGGAATAGGTTGGTTCTGGCAAAAAGAAAAATCTTTCCATAGAGTCAGTGGGTAAATACATGCAGGTATATGAAACTTGCACTTTTCGGAGTTAAACAAAATCGGTAACATCCTTTTGAATCCAGACCTGCGGAACAAACTTCTGCACAAAACCAGTCTGTTTGTAAGTATATAGGCAGTAAGGCAATCCTGGGTTTGTGTGGATTGTTTATGAACATGTGCCAGTTTCTGAGAGTATGCATATGCATGTGTGTGTGTGTGTGTGAGGGCTGCCAAATGAGGAAAGCAGGAAGAGGAAGAGGCGAGATGGTTTGAGGGGCTGTTTATTTATTCATTACCCGGTGGCCTTGGTGGTTTCAGGGGGACGGAGGGGTGGGGGGGACACGGCAACACTTGTCCTGGGCCCTTCAGCGCCGGTCTTTTTGTGGCCTTCGTTGGCTCCGTCGGCGCCTTCAGTTTACCCTCGGCCCGGCTCGCCTTGGTTCCGCTGCTCTTCGTTCCTCGTACGAGTCAGAGTTTATGTTTTGGATAATGCAGAAAAACCTGCCTTTCTTCAGCAAACAGTTCATTTTCTGTGTGGTTTTAATAAGGTGTAACATGTTTACATGTAAAAAATGTCCACTCCTTTCCATTAAATCAACAAAGTGCTGCATGCCAGCGGACGTAAATGATACATGACGGGGGGGGGAATCCAAACCAATAAAAATGTATAAATGTTCGCTTTCTGCTGCTTCATTTATTTCTCCCAAATGTTAGCAGAGTTTCTTACATCAGGGTTTAAGATCAGTCTGCGCAGCCTAAAAAGGTTAAAAAATGCCACCCTGTGAGCAGATGGCATGCGCCCCCTACCTTCACTGACTGGTAGCAACACGACCCCATATCTCACATCCTGAGGAGAAGCTTGGTGCCGGTTCTAGGACATTCTGAATTGGTTGCCTTGAGGTTCCAGATGATCAATCAATAATCTAAAAACAATTCACAGAACAAGAATCTGAAACCACAAAGTTTGTAAAATGCTCCTGCTGTCTCTCTGCCATCTTGAACAGCCACGTGTCTTCTGCTTGAGATCTGAGGACGACGGATCCTTCATATTATGATCTGACCGCACCTAGACAACTCATGACATGCATCCCTCACCAAAACAGTCAATCGGAAACATGCATGTAATAAAAGTTAAGATTAAGCAGGGAATTAATACCCTCATCAGATTAGCAGAAATAATGTGATGCAGTATACAAACCCATAACATATGTAAGCTCATGCTGTGCTCCTCTTGTGTCCTGACTGATATACCCCCACAGTAGGAGGCCATCGATTCCCTTGACAAAAGAACTGAGCCAGGTGCACGTCTCACTTCTATCCCGTTCCCTCCTCGACCGACCAAGGTATGTGTTCAAACCTAAAGCGATCAATGACTATACTCCAGGATCAATTTCTCAAGATTTGGAGTGTCAGACGTGATTTGGCATGACTTTTTGGCTGGCGGTCTAACGTCTTCAAACGTCTTTCTGTTCTTGTAAACAGAAAAGATTTTTAGATCTTGAAATGAAAAGAAGTGAGGAGATGTTATTTCTGGCATGGACGCCTTTGATTCCCAAATGAGTTCTTGACGCTTTTGTTGTATTTTATTGTTGTAATTAAGTTGGGATTTTTGCTATAATCTGCAGCAGTACTACACTCTTCTTTTGTATCCCTTACACTATTTAATTCTGCTTTGAACATGAAAATAATAATACTGTCTCTTTAAAAAGATTCAATAAAGGAACAAGTAAGACCTGCTGGTACATCATTGTTGTTTTTGCTAAATTTATAACTATTAGCATGTTTGCTATGCAAAGACGACTTGATTGATTAACCTTGGTTCTATAGCCTGTGGTCATTCACCAGAAGCAGCTGACGATACATTTTCCAGCTACATTATTTCTCTGAAAGGTGCATTTAGTTGTCATAGTTTGATCAAATCTGCCATCTTTAGAGATCGTTTCCCTTTTTATGCCTCTTTATGAACTTTAACAAGGATTCAGCCTGAGATCTAACCAGTCAATTTCTTTAAAACAAGGAGACCAAAGACGAGAACACCATAGTTACCATCTGACGAAAAATAGCAACCCTTAAAAACAGAAATGGAAAAAGAAGAAGACGGAAAAAAAACACAAAGGTATAAAATTTTAATTGAAAAATAAAAATGATGTTTTCGCATAAAAACATTCCAAATGGGCTCAGTAGGGCTGTGTATGGCGGGAAGCCGCACAATGTACCTAAGGCACTGCAAAGTGTTAACATGAAAAACACATCAGGGGAGACGGAAGAGGGAGGGGAGACGGCCTGTGGGGGTACGCACACATGGAAACGCAGACATGTGGCCAATATGTCCCACTTTGCAATTAGCGTGCATCATATCACTGCGCGTACTAAATAATGTGGGTCACGGTTCTTTTTTCTACAAAAGGGAAGGTAGGCTGTTCCTCAAGATGGAGAGGCCAAGAAGTTGGTGACGAATCATAATTTGCTGAACTGCCGATATCATTTCCAAATGCGGTGTGCGTTTGTGCGCAAAACATCATTTGCTTCTATTCCCCCCCTCCCTTCTTAGTTCGGTTGGAAGGCAACAGTTTCAGAAGCTTTCTAATTTTTCTTAGTGTTGAAGCGAACAAAGCCATGACTTGCCAGACTCGGGGGAGGGCCTAATTGGAGAAACCGAGAGCTTTGAGCAAAGTTTCGAGCGAGCTTTTGTTTATTAGAAAGAAGACTCCTGCGGATTTGCCTCCGCTTGTCTTCGGAACACACGCTTACAAATCTTTCACTTAGCTTTTGATGTTGAAGGAAAAGGAGGTGTTTGTTTTCTTTTTGCAAAATCCTGGATTCCCTGGCTCTTCCGGCACGGCAGAACGACTGCGAGAGGAAGAACATGCAGGAATTAGCCAGTTAAACATCTCAGGGTCTTTTCCATCTTTGTCTCCTCGGAGTCGACACATCAAGCTTGCTAAGCATTAAAGAGCCAAGGAAGTCACAAAGGACCAGCCACACTGACAGGAATGCCCTCAAACTATTAGCTCTTCTCTCCAACACTTGCACAAACCCTCTTGCGCTCCCTCACTCTGTTCTCTATTCCATGTCTCTCTCACAAATGCATTTAAACAACATAATAGAGGCTGAGGTAACCGCTGAGATAAACTCTGGCATGTGTGTGGAGGAGGCAAACTCTAATATCCATTGGTGCTTTGGTAATTGTTGACAGAATTTCTGTAATTTGTGGAACAAAGCAGTCAAGATATGAACTAAGCTGAAGACAATCAGGTTTAATTCAGGGCTTTTGACACATAACCGTAAAGCCAAGCTTTAAAGCAACTCGTCCGGTGAACTGATAAGGCATTTCATGGCCAGATGGATTCTATTTTGCTATTACTTCATGGTGAGCTAATTAGATGAAAGTTGCAGAGCTGATCTCGCAGCCAAAATTCAACTGTTTGGTTTGATTTTTATAAGAAAAAGCTGCAAGATAAAACAGGTCTGAAAATCCTTTCATTAAAAGCAAAAGTGGTGACTGTGCACAATTACATTAGAGGTGGTTGGAAAATACACAATTAGTTTACGCAAACAGGTAGATTTTTCTTTCTTTTTTTATTTTTATTTTTTTTTAACAAATTTAAAAAAGAAGCATAATATTGATTTCTGATTTGATGAAACAAGCATATATGAAAGTCCATGGAGGAATAGTAAATAATATCTGAATTACAATAATGGAATAAAGAACAAATTTGATTTAAAACACATAAATATAGAGGAGAAAAAAAGCATAAAAAGATGACACAAAAAGGGGAACTCCAAATAATTAACCTCTGTCCTATTTTAAAAAGGGCTCTGACACATGCTTTTGGAATGGTGGAGCTTATTTTGATTTATTATTATTATTATGGTGATGATTTAGAATAAAATAAAGCAAACAAGTCAGACTTGGCAAACTTCTATCGGAGATTGATTGTATTATCTAAAGCTTTCGTCGTGTTGGTCATGCTGCAAGTTGTTTTACTTTGACATTCAAACACACCCAGGCATCGAACTGAAATTAAAACTTTTTATCGACTTGTCCTTATTTATCACAGGAACTGCATCCGATCATTTCGGTAAACTTCACCAAACAAACTTAAACTGTTGTGACCTCTCGTTAACCACAAACGTTTGGTCACTGTTGAGGTCGTATGACCCACTGGCTGTGAATCTGAGCTCACATTACAGCCTATCTCATTCAACTCGGAGGTATTAGAGACCAGAGTATCCATGGGTCTGATCCACAACCTGCAGTTAATAGCCACCTCGGCCCCCTCGGCTCACAGCCTCATAATGGGATGAATGGAGCTGTGGACCCACTGCCTTTTGGGCCCTTAGGCTGTAATCAGCTTCCCCCCAGTGAGGGGCCACATAGTTCACTTTTCTCTGGGTTAGATAAGAGGAAGCTAAGGGGAGACCTTTAGTTTGCCCTAATGTTAGGTTCACCATCAGATAAACAGGCTGATTTGATCTTACTGCTGCAGGGAGGAGATGGCTGCTGCTACTCTCGGTGGAATTCTTACTTTGTGGCTCTGTGTATGTGTGTGTGTGTGTGTGGGGGGGGGGTATATGTGTGTTACGAATTGTGACAATGAAGAAATGTCTGTTTAAGTAAAAAAAAAATGTCGGATTAGGGATGAAAACAATTAATACTTAGGATTAATTGTCGATTAATGGTTTATTAGATTAAAATGAGTTCCAATCGATTAACTTATAATGTCCGCTGAGACCTTCTTTTATTGTTGTAGTTTGGCCGCCATCCAGCAGAGGGCGCCGCTGGTCGTCCTTAAGCGCAGCTAGGAAGAAAGATGGCGGCGCAAAACCAGAGAGGGAAAGAGGAACGGTCCAAACCTATGGTCCAAACAGAGTCCGGTATGGGATGTAAGATGCACTTTATGCGGTTCTGTTTTGAAATATAAACACTTGACAAGCTCCTTACGTTTTATCTTAATAGCGCTCGTTCTTAGAGATTCCTGTTTTGTTATATTTTATGGATATGTCTAAGATTGTTGGAATGAAAAATTTGGCATAAAATCTTGCCATGTGAACCAGACATATCGAGTTTTGCGTTTTGACTCTCTTTCTTTACCCCAAGAGACCAGAAAACTACTCAAATTATTACAAAGGAAGTGCCAAACCGTCAGTCCTTATCCATCCCACAATCACTTAATTTAATTTTTTATTTACTTTTTTCGTTTTAGACATCTGAAATTCTGGAATAACCTTAATTGTCTTATCCACAGTTTTCACTCCATGTTGATATTTATTTTTAAGAGGTGGCGAAACCTGAAACTGCTGCTGTGTAAGTTACTTAACCTGTTGTTGCTAGGTAACAAGTGAGTGAGTTGGAATATGCCACCCACCTTGCTTAGCTAGCTGCAAGAGGTTGTGTACATCTCCCAGAATGCTGTGTGGTTCTGGATTGGAGTTCAGTGAATATTCTATGTATTGAATATTGTATCAGCGGTATTAACTATTGATATTGATCAAATGTGTCTATTGCAATATATATTGTTATTGATTTATTTGTCTAGCCCTACTTAGAACCAACGCAGTCGCAGCAAAACAGGGGTTTACTAATTTCCTCCTTAACTGTCATGACTTAGATGTGTTTTAGGGGTGACAGTTATTGGGGTTTTGAGGGAAAGACACATTTATTGAGGAGTTGACATTTTAAAACGGTCTTTAGAATCTTTTGATAGCACGTACACTGCGTGATGAAGCCCAAATATTTCCAAAACTACCACTGCAGTGCAGCATAGTTCAACCAAAGTCTTACTATTCTTTCAAATCCAGACCACCTTTTCCACTTTTAATTGCCCAAGATCCTTCAACCACTAGAACATTAACCTGTTCACATTAGATGAGCTCTGTTTGTGCTCAGATAACTCCTCTCGAGCGACTTCTCAACAGGAAAGCTGATGAGAGGGTATATTAAGGCTGTTAAATAGTTGAGTGGGGTTGGGGGCTTCTGGGAGCCCAACCAGACAGAAACCTTTATTGGAAATGTAATTTTTGTTTGTCTCCAATTACCTCCCCGCTCATTTGTTTTACAGATGCCGTTATGGCGTAGAGAGAGTGAGCTGGATTCTCCCAAGGATTGCTCTTCGGAGAGGCCGCGGTTTATTACAAATGGGAAAGCTTTCATTGCAGATTGCTCCGGCGCAGCGCAGAGGTACGTGACCCATCTAGGCCGCGCCGGGGGTTGACTTTATGGCTCTGAATTCACTCAAAAAGTGAGCAGAGCTGAATTTAAATGTGTATGTTTGTGTTTGTTTATGGACATCCACATTTAAATTGTGTGTGGGAAATGTTTTAACAAATGGCTAGTCATAAGCAAAAGAGTGAATCCTTGTTAGCTGGAATAAAAGTCTAAGTCTCAATGTAACCATTCACCGAGTTTATTTTGGTTGTACTCGTTAAATGCTTGACTTTCTGTATATACAGAACAAAAGATTCATTTTGGCAAGAAAATAAAATGTTTTTGCTTTGATAACTGTAATAATGCTAAAGAAACAATTCATTTTTTGCCATGTTCTATAATCTTCAAATATGCTGACAAATAGCTATCATAATCAATCATAGTGATCAGTTTTTATAGCAAACAGAACAATGAAACTGAAATTGTTTGTTTAGAAAGTAGTTAATCCAACAGCTATTGGATGAATAGTCAGGTTGTGTTTTATGCTGTGTAGATCAGTGTTTTCTGACTGTGTTCTGACTTTACCACACTGCTTGTTTTGCTTCATGTTTTAGACGTTTCACTGCTTATTAAGCAAACCTGATTCAGATTGATGACTAATAAACAAGATTTTGGCATAATTGATTTCATATATTTTGGGTTGAATATTTTATTCCTCTAAAGCAGTGACATCCAGACTTATTAGACATCAAGTCAAAAAGCGTTCACGAGGCACAAATATATGTAAACCCCTCAAAAATGCATTTATTTATTTTTACCAGCTCAGAAAGAAACTAAACATGCAAAATATTTGGAAAAAAGAAACATTATTTGTGATAATTAAGGGATCCTTAAATAATTTCCATTTACACAGGTTTTTGTTAATGGGTCTCTCTTTGAACAAACTCTATCCAAAATATGAGGATTGAGGACTTAGACTAGGACATGATTTTGGGAAATATGAATAAAACTGGCTTGGTTTGGCCAAAAGCACCAATCAAAGTAGATTATCTTACAGCCATAGAAGATCTCAATAGGGATTCATTGTGTAGATACATATAGTTCAATTTAGTTCAAGTTTATTGTATCGTTCTAAGTGTTTTACATTCAATCACCAA